ATCACGCATGTGCGTTTGAAGCAAATGACGCAAGTGCTGCAGACTGTGGGCTATCAAGACAGTCCCTAGCAACCTTTCGCACAAATAAAGCCTGCGTAGCTGCAGCGATCTCAACAGGAGACATGCGCATTAGAAGGTCTTGGATGTCTTGGGGTGTTTCACAGTCTTTCATCCTGGTGGCGTCGCCACAATGACGTCATGAGTATTCCCCAATTTCTATCATCATTCCACTTTTGCGAATGGAATGCATGTAATGTACTATATATATATACATACGTATGTTTAACAATGTTTAGGCCTAGCCGTTTGCTGGGCTTCTTGAGTGGCTCTATGTCTGCGCACTTCTTCCTCCACCCTTGAAACGGGGTCGGCGGCACCAGGGCGTTAGCCCATTTATAATAATCCAACTTCTGACTCGACCGCATGCACTCAGAGGCCCAGAAATTGACACAGCCCCAGACTCTGGTGACTCTGGTGGTGGGGTCAGTGCATCTGAATATGGTGACTGAATATCGCGAAGGTCAAGAAAAGACTATGGCACTGTCTGGATGTTGCATGGCAATATGTTGTGGTATAGTACGATATGATATGATATGATATGACATGATATGATGTTACTTGATATATATATATATATATATAAGGGCATTAAAGAATGGTCTCATGCAGGTATACTACATATGGTGTCATTAGTGCTGGGTCAACAAATAATAACAAATCTGTGGGGTCCACAGATTGAGTCATCTCTATGGTGCACCTTCCACTCCTGGGCACCTAATCCATCCTCTTTTCCCATACCATTCGCCGGAGAAACTCTCCGACGGTGAAATTCACCCGTTCTTCTTCCGATTCCGAGTGATATATCCGAATCCAAATGGAGCATGTTCCCAAATATCCCAATTTTCTTCTAGCTAGACCCTCCACAGATCCCCCAAAAGGTATCAACAAGTGGTAAGAGTATCAGACACTGTTAGAATACCCTTTGGTTATTTAACGTAGCGAACTGGAAAATGGTCCATTTATAGATGATAAAGATGATGATTTACCTATTAGAAATGGTGATTTACCTATTTGAATTATGGGGGTAAGACATGGTAAAACAGCCATGTCTTAATTGTACTACAGTGTCTCAATGGTACTACAGTCCCCGATCCCGTCAATCCCGGCATGGAGGCAGCAACGACCACCACCACGAAGAACGCCACAGCCTTAGGGCGCTGGGAAGTCGAAAAAAACATGGAGTTTTTAATGGGAACAAATGGGAACAAAATCAAGCAGACATGGCGGATCCAAGATTTTCTCGATTTTCGTTTGATTGGCTGAGGCTACTTTTTTGGGGCGCTGGTTTCGAAAGTTTTTGAACCAGCTTTGTTGGAACGGAGTATGAGGATATGCTGTTCATACAAAACTAAAGTAACGTAGTTCATTCAATTCAGTTCAAAGTTCAAAGGTATGGATATGGGTTAAACGGTTCAACATGGTGAAACCCCCTAGACTAGTTCTGGATGTTTCAGCCCATTTAAGTAGCATTTAACCGATTCATACCCAGTCTCTAACCCCAGCTGCCACAGCCGGTTTCCCCATGAAATACCTCTTGGTTACGTTTTCGGTATCCAGGTGACTCCATGAATAATTCTGGGTTATCACAATTCCAAATAAATGAGGTATAGCTTAAATAAACCCCAAAACAAAACACATATAAGCTGGGGGTCCATATATAATCATATATACCACTTTTCACATTTAATTCTGGGTTATCACAATTTCTAACTCAAGCATGGTATTTTCTTCGCTCAGAAATGTCGCCGAAGAAATGTCAGGTCCCCAGCAAAGAGCAACACGGAGGCCATGGCGAAAGAAATGACGGTGGATGAGTTGTGACACTTTAGATATGCTGAGATACCCTCTGGTAAACTAACATAGCTATTGAAAATGGCCATTTATAGTGGATTTACCCATTAAAAATGGTGATTTTCCATAGCTATGTTAAATATGCTGAGATATTCTTTGACTCTATGGGAAATACAGTAGTTAGACTAGATTGGACATGATTGGACTAGTGTCTTAAACCTAATACATAATGATAACAAAGAAAAAACGGAATAGTTTGTATAAACCATCCCAAAAAAATTGCTTGTCTTTGGCTTTACATTACGAGTCGCACCTAGTTCTGTGGATACTGTGTCTCGGTGAGTGGATCAGGCTGGGCCTGGCTGGGCACGAGGGGATCCCAACCGGCCGTGGTAAAAAAACCCTTCTGATCGCTTTCACAGGGTGGTTCCTCTTTGTCACAACAAGATTGAAGCATTTCAGCATGGCACAAATCCGAAACCCTGGCTCAAATTGAAGCTGCAAATGCTGCAAATGACATTAAATGGATTTGTGGGATGAATGTAGATGTCTGCTAACTTTCAGTTGGAAGTTATTGTTTGCATTCTCTGTTTTGGCCGAGCTTTTTTTATATGAGCCTGAGATGCAGACACGGTTAGCCGAAAGCCGACTCGACGTTTCAGAGGTGTTTCAAGATGGACCCCACAATGGCAATCGTGAAAGTATGTGAAAGTGATGTTTGATGCGGGGTTCGCCAAACCAATGTGTACAGCTGGCATGTCAAGATTTTGAAGCCCTTGTTCTGATGTCCATTCCTGTATGCCAAATGGCGGCAAATGGGCAGATCGCAATAGATCTTAAAGCCCCAAACAAATTCATTGGTTTGATCAATGGCCATTTTAGGAACCTAAATTGGAGGTACCGATTCCATATCTAAGGCCTATTTTTCAGGCCTAAATTTCAGGGAATATCCCCACAATTCATATGGCCAGAAATATGGTACGTTTACGTACCTCCATCAATTGGATCCTGAAGATCTCCCATTGATCATGGGACCCATGGGACCCAGCTCCTTCTTCGACCATGATCCGACCCATTCCCACCTTGGCAACACAAAATAACTGACCAACCCGTGGAATGACCCAAGAGAAAGTCTACAGTCTACAGGAAAGGATCGTTTTTTACACCCCAAAAGACAGCTGTGCTGTCGATTTTCCCGAAAAACAATCAACTTGAAATGAGGTGATTTTGGAGTCTAAAAAAATTACTTTACTTCGTGTGATCCCCACCGTGACATTTTTACATTTTCTTACTGGCATTCTATCTGACATATCTTCTGGCATTCTATCTGGCAAATCTTCTGGCATTCTATCTGGCATATCTTCTGGCATTCTATCTGGCATATCTTCTGGCATTCTATCTGACATATCTTCTGGCATTCTATCTGGCATATCTTCTGGCATTCTATCTGGCATATCTTCTGGCAGATGTTCTGGCATAGCTTCTGGCATATCTTCTGGCATTCTATCTGGCATTCTATCTGGCATATCTTCTGGCATATTATCTGGCAAATCTTCTGGGATTCTATCTGGCATATCTTGTGTCATTCTATCTGACATTCCATCTGGCATATCTTCTGGCATTCTATCTGGCATATCTCATGAGGTCCGGCAGGGAACACTTGGCGTGGATACTCGCGGTTGAGGTTCGGCAGGGAACACTGGGCGTGGATGGTCGTGGTTGAGGTCCGGCAGGGAACATTGGGCGGGGATGGTCGTGGTTGAGGTCCGGCAGGGAACACTGGGCGTGGATGGTCGTGGTTGAGGTCCGGCAGGGAACACTGGGCGTGGATGGTCGTGGTTGAGGTCCGACAGCGAACACTGTGGATCGCGAGTCGCAGTTGAGCAGGAGGACGAGGAGGACAACGAGACGAGGAGGACAACGAGAGGAGGAGGACAACGAGAGGAGGAGGACGACGAGAGGAGGAGGAGAGGAGGAGGAGAGGAGGACGAGGCAGGAGGAGGAGGAGGCAACTGACATAAAATCTAACAACCCTCACCTGGCAGGTGGGGAAATATATATACCATCTGGTTATGACTCACATAGCCATGGAAAATCACCATTTTTAATAGGTAAACGGTAAACCATCTATTTCTATGGGCCATCTATACCATGGCTATGTTAAATAACCAAAACATATAAATACATACAACATATGGCTATGAGTCAAAACCCTGGCACCCTACAACAGTAGGTACCCCAAAATAGCTGGTTAATGAATAGTTATTCCCCTTTCCTATGGGTAATAAATGGCAATAATAGGTTTTGACCCATCCCCATGGCCATACATTCAGCATCTCTCAGCAGCATCTTTTCACGTTGCGACAGGCACGTCAGGCATCGCAGAGGCCTGGCCGAGGCTTCTGCTGAGTACCATACCAGGATGGTTGATACCCTGGGTACCCACAAAATATCCATGGGTTTTAGTACCAAAAAAGATGCTTTGCGAAAAATGACAAAATCAGCCCCTGAGGGGCTGTGAATTTGACCAGATATGTATATAGCCATTATACAGAAGGGGAACATGATGATTAAACAGTGGAATAAGGTGTACCCAACCCATTTCCCGGTGGTCAGCCTTTTTCGTCCACACTCAGCATGTCAGACATCCATTTGACAAAGGCGCTGTGCTCACATTGGTGACTGCCAGCTTTGCACAGTTCCCATGAATGTTACCAGAATTGGGCCATCCATGTGAAAGAGCTCAAAGCTAGGATTGAAATCTTTTGTTCATATTCATCTTCAGTATTCCTTGAAGACCCTGAAGATATAGGATTTTCCCAAACATGATGTACGGTCGAGAAGTGATTGCCCAACAGAATGGAGAAATAGACGTACATTGAATGACTCATAGCCGTCATAGCCAAAACAAGAAGAACTCTCAGCAAATCTGCTGGCAGTCACGGGCAACGACCTGTGTCTGAGACTCTGTTGGAAAGGTCTGTCACCACCTTGTGGTCACCTCCATCGTCGTTTTTTTTGGGGGAACCATTCCATCGCATTACATTCCGGCATTGCATCAGCTTCCCTTGGTGACACTTGACCAGACCTCTGCTCAATGATACTGGCACCATTGGACCATGCAGCGCCGGTGCTTCACTGTTGAACGCTCAGAATGGTAGGCGGCGGGGATGAAAGATGGTACCACAATAGGGGATCGGTCCGTCCTTGCTGGGAAAAGCTCAGCGGACAGTGGAACGGGGGAGGTCACGGTGCTTCCGTTGTCTTCCCTCCAAAAAGTGGCATCAGAGCTTGCCAGTGCAGTCAAAAAGGCTACCCAGTTCCTTCATCAATACCATTGATCCAGTCTTACACACACAAATACAAACCACACACGGAAAATCAACTCAGTTTTCTCTCTCCATTCCCACCCTTTGCACTTACTGTAATTCACCACGAACTTTCTCGAAGGATTCTAAAGTTTGAATCATTCTGACCCTCAACAACCAACATTTTAAAAATGGAACCGTTTGTCTTCGAACTGAACAGTTCGAAAATGTGGGGATTTCCTCAAATGCGGATACCCCCAATCCAAATCATCTCAAATTGATTCAAATTGGATGATGTATTGAAACAACATTAAACAACCATGATGACTTGGGGATCCCCCATTAGAAACACCCATTGGTTGTTTACAAAAACACAATCTTAAAATTGAAAAAACATTATTTACCCATATTTACCCATTATGGGGATCCACCCATTTAATGTCAAGTTAGGATTAATAATCCCCGCGGTATTAATCAACCCCCGTCTGCCCCAAAAAAAAATGTAATTTTAAAAAAAAAGGTGGTCCCCCAGGATTAATATACCCCCCCGATTAAAAAACCACCAGTGCTGAAATCAATTCTATTTATTTCCAATTTGTTTTTACCTTTTTTTTAATCATCATTGTTATACTTAAGGTTTAAGTTGATCATTGAAAATTTCAAAAAACGACTATTCCCCAAATGATCGATTTCTAGTTAAAAATCTTTATAAAAATCATCAGTTTGGATAGCTCCCAAAGGGTACCCCCCATGAGCCCATGTCCCCCATTAATAATAACCAGGGTTTGCCCCTGATTAATCAACCACCTTTCTGATCCATGAGATTTTAACAAATCCAATAGAATTCTATTAAGATCTAATTGACGTAAGCCATATCCAAATTTTTATGGTTCAGAGTTGCTTATTTATTAGGGGGTGGTCGAGAAACTCGCCAGAAGGTACCCCCCTATCTACCTGGTCGGGGGGGGGGGTGATTAATCCGATGTTGCCATTATTTTCAATGATGGCATTTGTTTCAAGCAACATTAAACAACCATTAAACAACATTAGAAACATCCATTTGAAGCCATGTTTGGTGTCACAAAAGCCGTTGGTCGCCATGGCTCTGGGCCCAGGGTGATGGCCCGAACCAAGGACAGGATCACGATCAGCGCCGTGACGTTCTTCGCCTGGGTTCGTGGCGGCGAAGTACCTAACGATAATATGTATGTATAATATACTATATATTAATGTTAATGATATGATAATGATTATATAATATACTATATCCCATATGCTCCATGTATGGTATATTTACCTACATAACTGGGTGATTTTTAGGGTAAATGTTGGTAAATATTCCATACATGGAGTATATGGGGTATTAATGTTAATGATAATGAAAGCATAATTAACAATGACAAATAATAGTATGCTATAATAATGTCAAAGTGTATCACATATGAGAATGACTAATAATAATGATAACATATTGGTTGTGATAATAAAATATGGAATAGCTAATATCATAATGATACTAGCTATTAGAATTACTAATTATGATCGTAATAAAATTAGTAGCTATATAATACAATTAATTAGTTATAATTATGGTGATAGCTTCTATAATACAATAACAATCACCATGATAACATAAGTAATAACAGCAAACATGGACATTGTAATAAACAAAACTAAACTAATTAATATACGGAAAGCCATCATCCCATTTTTTCCTGGTCAAACGGCCTTGACCATTTTCTTTGGTCATTACGGCTTTGATCATCTGGACCCGCTTGTGTGAGAAATTGCTACGGCTTTTTACGGCTTTGTGTTTAACAAAATATCAAAAAAAAAACGGTTTTGCTACGGGTAGGCCTGCAATCTTCTTTTGATTTGACAAAAAAACGTATTTGACAAAAAAAGCTGAACGTAACGATTTTTCCCATAATAATCAGAAAAAAAAATGTTTTTGTTTCCCAGAATATATATGTAATCATACATATATATATAGCATATAACTCATTGATGTGGTAGTTCCAATGCCTTCAACTATCACAAAATCCAACCAGTAGTGGGGCACATTTTACATCATCCCACATAAAGGTATAGCCGGTATAGCCATTTATAAAGCCCCTTTAGTATGGGGTTGCCACATTCTATCTAACTAAGAATATCTACCTATGGCTGGAAGCCAATAATTTCTTCCTTTCTCACCCTCATTTAGAAACTAATAGAGCCCCATAATTCAACACATACGCTAGACATTTCGGCACAGCGTACTTTTAATATCGTTTAAGAGTTTCGAAGTATCATTTAAAGTCAATGATAGTCAATGACTATCTAATCCACAACAATCGCCAGCGGAGTGCGGTCCAACATCCATGTTTGGTTGATGTTACCATTTCTCCTCCTATCAGGCCCAAGGCAATTCACATTGGACTTTCAAGAGCCCAAGATCCCTTGCGTTATCCTCTTCTCCATTCAAACTTCCATAAAATTGGGACCCAGTTGGCCCAAATATGCCCAAATCTCCATGTGTGTGTTGGTGAAATCCAAATTTGAACCCATGTTCTTGCTCTTTGTGCAACACCTTTTTATTGTTGGGCAACTCCTTAAGCATTGCCATTGGACAGTTGCTACAAATTCCGGCTAAGATAAATCTTAAAAAAAAACTATAATTTCGTCGGTCCCTTGGTACACAAATCCCCTTTTTTAAGAGTCGCCACTCACCCAGTCCGAGATTGGTCAAATCCAAATTCCAGTTTTCCCGTTTTGCACAGTCAGAACCACCATGGCCACTGAAGTCCCAGTGGCCGTGAGTTTGGCCTTGTTATACCATGGAGGTTGGTGCTCCTCCTGCATATCTGCTAGGATGATAGCCAGCAGAAAACCCGCCAACATCCCTGCGAAGTGCCCCACAAAGTCCACGTTGGGCGAAATGGTGGACATCATGATGCACGAAGTGCACCTGGAAAAAAACATCATTGGGAAGCCATTTTCGGGAAGATCTTGATTGGACATCCTAGAACAAGAGGAAATCATGCTGTACATATATATATACGTATATATATATATATATATGTAATTATGTACATATATATATATATATATTGTTTTCTTGCATATTGATATGTATGTATATATTACACATACATATACCTACATAGACTATGTGGGTCAAGAATCTGGGACAAGAATGGATTGCTGAATTGTCAAAGTGACTGACTAAAGCTTACCGGTCGAAGAGTCTAAAATTTTGACATACATCAATATTGTTCCCTATCTTAAATGTCCTCTGAATCTGCTCAGGATAGGAGCGGTTTTGTATCCCTTATCCTCCACATGTTGTGCAACCGAGGCACATAAAGGCAAACCACAAGAAGATCCTGGATCGACTTTCGCCCAACCTGAGGATGGAATAGGATGGATATCTTTGGATCCGTGTAGCATGCAAAACCCACTAAAAAAACAACAATAGTGTTCTGGTGGTTGTTTTCACCATCATAATCATGATCATCACCCTCATCATCATCATCATCATCGTCATCATCAGCAGCAGCAGAACTGTTCATTTCACTTCAAAAGTCAGTCATAATCAAAGCATATTTCATCATACATATATATACATGTTAATATTATATATAATTCTGTGTAATTATATATATACATGAGTTTCAACAAAAAATAATAATAATGCTAGTAATAATCAAAAACATAATTATAATCATAGTCATCAGCATGTTGGTTGGTGAAATTCTCACTTTGTGAACCCGTGAACCCCCAGCCATCCTCTTCCAGCCACGCTACAGGTCCCAAGTGAGGAGAACCTCTGCAGCCCAAACCCCCAGCAATCCGAAGCCACTGGTAGAAGCTCCCACGGCCAGCCTCGACGGAACAACGTGTCACTGACGTTTTTTCTGACGTGTCACGTGACTCTGGCAGTTTTGGCTCAAAATTTTTGGGAATTTCATGACTTACTGGTGCTTAGCAGGGAATTTTCGGGAATGATCCACAATAACTATCAATAATCATCCCAGCAACCCCCAGCAACCCATCCATTCCCTACTAAGCACCAGTTACCGTGAAGCTGTCACTGCCACCCTCAGCCCCAGGCTTCATAGGATCCACAGCCACCGAGATCAGATTCCCCAGGAAACCGCAGAACATGTAGAGCAGGCAGAACTTGCGGCGTCCAAACCTTGGAAAAGGATAGAACTTGGCCATTGATGTTGAGATTTTATTCTTTTGATAATCCGCGGTTATACTGTATATATATACTGTGTTGCTTTTATCATAGGTGAATAGTTGTTATAGGGTTATACATAATATATATATACTATGCTATCGGGCCACCCCCACATATTTATATTTTATGTAATTATAGTATATATATAATATGTTATCCGGGTCACCCCCATATGTTTACATATGTATATATATATTATCTTATCGGGTCACCCACACATACACACATATATATATACTTTAAACCCCACAACGCTTCCACTCAGCCATCACAGCAGCAACAGCCGGCTGCTGCTGCTGCTGCTGCTGGCTGCTGCTACACCTTTGAAGAGATGGAGGAGATGCAGGCCTCAGCAAACGTTCCAATTCGTGATATATATATATATATCAGGTTTATCATTTAAATGGGATATACAAGATTGGTGGGAAATATAGTCATAATATATTTGAGATATATATACCAGATTTATCATATTTAGATTGGTGGTAACATATACATCATATATTTGAGATATATACCAGATTTATCATATTCAGATTGGTGGTAAAATATATTCATTCATATATTTGAGATATATACCAGATTTATCATATGTTCGATATATATGTGTAACCGAAATTGGTGGTAAAATATATTCATCATATACTTGAGATATAAACTAGATTTACTATATTTTTGGGATATATACCAGATTGGTGGTAAAATATATTAATCATATATTTGATATATAAACTAGATTTATCATATGTTCAAGATATACCGAATATTGTTTGTATCCCTGATTGGTGGTTTGTATCCCTGATACCATGTTAAAGGGATGATCAAGGGCCCTTAGATTGATCACTACTGGCAGTAAATTGGAATTTCAATGGATTTTCTTCAAACATGAAGATAATCATGGTTCCTTTGAGCGCTCACTACCGGTAGTGAATTGGGATGTTCTTCAAGAATTGGGATGATCGGGGTTCCTTACAACATTCACTACCAATAGTGAATGGGGAATTCTTTCAAACATTGGGATGATCGGTGTTCCTTAGAACGCTCGCTACCTGATATAGGGAGCGTTCTAACAGGGAGCGACCGTCGCAACCTCTTAGAACACTCACTATAGCGGTAGCGAGCGTTCTAAGGGCCCCCGATCATCCCAATTGTAGGAAAAATCAATTCAAATCCCAATTCACTAGCGGGCATTCTAAGGGCTCTCCATCATCCCTATTTTTGAAAAATCCATTCGAATCCCAATTCACTACCGGTAGCGAGCGTTCTAAGGAACCCCAATCGTCCCAATTTTTTAAGAAACCCATTGAAATCCCAAGTCACTACCGGTAACGAGCGTTCTATAAGGGCCCCCCAATCATCCCAATTTTTGACAGAATTACCCATTCACTACCGGTAGCGAGCGTTCTAAGGAACCCCAATCGTCCGAATTTTTGAAGAAACCCATTGAAATCCCAAGTCACTACCGGTAGCGAGCGTTCTAAGGAACCCCAATCGTCCCAATTTTTGAAAGAATTCCCCATTCACTACCGGTAGCGAGCGTTCTAAGGGCCCCAATCGTCCCAATTTCTGAAGGAATTCCCCATTCACTACCGGTAGCGAGCGTTCTAAGGGCCCCCCAATCATCCATATGTATAATTGCTGCTTTTAAGATAGATAGCGTTCTAACAGGGAGCGACCGTCGCTCCCTCTTAGAACACTCACTACCGGTAGCGAGCGTTCTAAGGGAGGTTTCCTGTCGCTGGAGCACCCTCAATCTTGCGTTCTTCTCACTAAGACCCCAGCGAAAACACAAGATCATCCCTGGTCCGATGTTTGCCAACCCCCCCTTAGAACACTCACTACCGGTAGCGAGCGTTCTAACAGGGAGCGACCGTCGCACCCTGTTAGAACACTATCTATCTTAGGGAGCGTTCTAACAGGGAGCGACCGTCGCTCCCTCTTAGAACACTCACTACCGGTAGCGAGCGTTCTAAGGGCCCCCGATCATCCCAATTTTAGAAAAAATCAATTCAAACCCCAATTCACTACCGGTAGCGAGCGTTCTAAGGAACCCCGATCATGCCAATTTTTGAAAAAATCCACTCAAATCCCAATTCACTACCGGTAGCGAGCGTTCTAAGGAACCCCGACCATCCCAATTTTTGAAGAAACCCATTGAAATCCCAATTCACTACCGGTAGCGAGCGTTCTAAGGGCCCCAATCATCCCAATTTTTGAAAGAATTCCCCATTCACTACCGGTAGCGAGCGTTCTAAGGAACCCCAATCGTCTCAATTTTTGAAAGAATTCCCCATTCACTACCGGTAGCGAGCGTTCTAAGGAACCCCAATCGTCCCAATTTTTGAAAGAATTCCCCATTCACTACCGGTAGCGAGCGTTCTAAGGAACCCCAATCGTCCCAATTTTTGAAAGAATTCCCCATTCACTACCGGTAGCGAGCGTTCTAAGGAACACCGATCATCCCAATGTTTGAAAGAATTCCCCATTCACTATTGGTAGTGAATGTTGTAAGGAACCCCGATCATCCCAATTCTTGAAGAACATCCCAATTCACTACCGGTAGTGAGCGCTCAAAGGAACCATGATTATCTTCATGTTTGAAGGAAATCCATTGAAATTCCAATTTACTGCCAGTAGTGATCAATCTAAGGGCCCTTGATCATCCCTTTAAAATGGTATCAGGGATACAAACCACCAATCAGGGATACAAACAATATTCGGTATATCTTAAACATATGATAAATCTAGTTTATATCTCAAATATATGATTAATATATTTTACCACCAATCTGGTATATATCCCAAAAATATAGTAAATCTAGTTTATATCTCAAGTATATGATGAATATATTTTACCACCAATTTCGGTTACACATATATATCGAACATATGATAAATCTGGTATATATCTCAAATATATGAATGAATATATTTTACCACCAATCTGAATATGATAAATCTGGTATATATCTCAAATATATGATGTATATTTTACCACCAATCTAAATATGATAAATCTGGTATATACATCTCAAATATATTATGACTATATTTCCCACCAATCTTGTATATCCCATTTAAATGATAAACCTGATATATTATATATATATCACGAATTGGAACGTTTGCTGAGGCCTGCATCTCCTCCATCTCTTCAAAGGTGTAGCAGCAGCCAGCAGCAGCAGCAGCAGCCGGCTGTTGCTGCTCTGATGGCTGAGTGGAAGCGTTGTGGGGTTTAAAGTATATATATGTATATGTGTGTGTATGTGTGGGTGACCCGATAAGATAGTATATATATACATATGTAAACATATGGGGGTGACCCGGATAACATATTATATATACTATAATTACATAAAATATAAATATGTGGGGGTGGCCCGATAGCATAGTATATATATATATTATGTATAACCCTATAACAACTATTCACCTATGATAAAAGCAACACAGTATATGTATATATATATGTATATATGTATATATATATATGTATACATATGTATATATATATGTGTGTATATATATGTATATGTATATGTTTGTATATGTATTATATGTGTATATATATGTGATATATGTATATATGTATGTATATATATATGTACTTATGTATATATGTATAGATGTATAGATGTATAATATACATATGGGGGTTGTCCAAAATACCTTTTCCCGGACAGCCCTCAATCGCTCAGCCAATCGCGTAGCAACCGCGGTACCACAGTGAGCAATCGCGGAAGGGTTTGTTCTTCGTTGATCAGATCATATACATAAAATATAAGTGATGTATTATATAATGAGGATCCATGCGTGAACGCATTCGATTTCAAATTTGGGAACAAAATAAGCTCGCGCGGTCCGGAAACGGTCCGGAAAACTCACAGTAGTACCAGCAGCAGTAGTACTAGTAGTACTAGTAGTACTAGTAGTACTAGTCGTAGTAGTAGTAGTAGTAGTAGTAGTAGTAGTAGTAGCAGTAGTCGTAGTAGTCGTAGTAGTCGTAGTAGTCGTAGTAGTCGTAGTAGTAGTAGTAGTAGTACTAGTAGTAGTACTAGCAGTACTAGTAGTAAAAGTAGTAGTAGTAGTAGTAGTACTAGTAGTAGTAGTAGTAGTAGTAGTAGTAGTAATAGGGTGGTAGCCGTATAACCAATCGCCAACCAATCGCTCAGCCTATCGCGATGCAGGTTTTAGCAATCGCGCAAAGCAAAGTAAACGCATCAATTCATAAATTTGTGACCTGCTTTTACGGACGACTCCCATATGTATATACATATTTAGTCCAGAATTGTGTCCATATAGTTATGATGTATATACACGTATTTATCATATATTTTATACAATACAGCTGTAGATCCTATTCATATATTTAATTTGTATGCAAATATATAGCATATATTATATATCATATCCATATTATTGACATTGCATCTAGAATACGTCTGCATGAGCGATCTTGCGGATCTATGGGTAAGGAAGCTTTGCCATGTCCCCTGGGACAAAACCGGTGGTCTGGGTTCAATGGCCTGCCTCTTCCAGTGGAAACATGGATCACTTGCATTGGACGAGTCTCAGCAATGGACGTCACCATGCCTTGTCCAAATTCAATTGAAAAAGCCAATTGAAGGTAGAATTGGGGACCACAAAACCAATGGTTTTCTAGACTGTCCAGTTAAAAACTAGCCTTTTTTGATGGTAACTTGGGGTTCACCATGGCACTGGGCCGCCTCAAACCTTTGCCGCTGCGTGCTGCGGCCAGGGCACTGCTTCTCCATGTCGAAGCCAATTCGCATCTGGAAGAAGAGATTGAAGAAGATATGCAGTGCATTTGCCTGAGATTGTTTGCCCGCGGCTAGTATGGTGAAAAATGATGTTATTTATTTATATACCCAGCGAATCCCAGTGAGGACTAATCTGAGACTCATATGAGTAATATCGTTCAATGATGCTAAATGGTTAAATAAGCATATTGAACCAATAGAAAACCTGAGATAAATTAACGCTAGTGCATTTGCTCAAGATAACCCCACGCAAAGGATGAATGGTTAACATGTTTATTGAATAAGCATCTTAATAAGACAAGCCAATTAGAATTATGATTTCTATCCCCACTTAGATTAATGGCTTGTGTATGGATTATTATGACCTATTACTCACGGGGATTTTCACGCATCCATCATAAGCCGTCCAGCCGTCCACCTTCAGATGAAGGTCAGGTCAGGCTGTTTCCACTGAGTGACTCGAAAGTCCTTCAGCCCACCTTCAGGCATTCCTCCATAAATATCATGAATGTAGTATGCTGATTAGTGTGAGGGACTGCGACTATTGTGACTATTGTGTAACAGTTTTTCCAAAATAATAAACTGAATCTGTGGAAATTAAATATATGTCAATATCATTAATATGTATATATATATTATTCATAGATATTCAAATCGTCATATCAAGTTCCATTCAACCCCCACACATTCCCCGCCCACCGGGGCACGTGCAGCATCATGGGCAACATGAGGCGCCACACTGCGCCCTGTGCGATGGCAGGGCCCCATGAGGCGCCCAGCAGGTACAGGGAGCAGAGCTTTGGAGATCCATAGGCAGATCCTCATAGGCAGGCCATGGGTTTTTGCCCTGGGGAAAACCATGGGAAAATATCTGGGGAATATGAACTATATATAAATAAATATATGACATATGTCTGGTGTCTGGAATATGAACGTCTGGTGTCTTTTTGTTCAATGTTTTCATGGAGAATGATATTTTGATGATGCTGTATAATAATGGTTTCCAGTTGCGGATGGTATGAAATGAAGCATTTATCTGTCAAAGTTGGACCGCACGTTGAAGAATGTTAGCCCCTGGGTGGAAGGCCGTGGATTGAAATTGTTTTCCCGATGTGGCCTTGCGTCCAAAGTTTGAGACACCTAAGATTCTTAAATCAGCTGTCTTTGTAGTTACATTCAAGCTTTTCATGCAATTAATCAGATCAATCAAAACCAATTTAGCACCAGAAAAACAACATGTTAATCCCCTGGTTTGACGGCAATGGGAACCCCCTTAAGGTACTCTTCAACATCATTCAACATCAACGGCTTCGTTTGTCGGTGTATCAAAAAAAAGTTGGGAAACAGCATCTGATAAGCAGTTGGCATCAGAGCAAAAGCATTTTGAATAATGTCAATGGGAAAAATATGATTGTAACATGGTCATTCAAAATGGTTATTAAATGAAATTCAATTATATAGGTAAATGAGATTTCCAAATATGGTCCCCATTACAAGGCCATCGTCCGGCCATTGTAATAAAAAATCCGTTGCCCCATCCACATCAATGCAGACCAGAAGCCCAGCAGCAACGAACCAACATATTCCTTGGGACCCGAGAAAAAAAGCTGATGACCCCACGACCAGCGGTTCTGAGGTTCTTCAGAAATCGAAAAAAACTTCGAAAGGTCAGCAAAATCTCCTGCCAAACTGTAAGCTGTTTCTTCTAGTTTCATCTACCCTCTGGTTATTTAACATAGCTATTGAAAATGGCCCATAGAAATAGATGGTTTACCTATTAAAAATGGTGATGTTCCGTGGCTATGTGAAATAACCAGAGGGTAGATTCTACATCAAGAATCAGATCTCACTGTTTTGGGATCCCCAAATTTTGGGCTGATTCACCTTTCGGGCAGTTAAGGATGCCTCGTCGGCCGCTAAGTGGCGGTAATTTGCAACATGCTGACGCGCCAAATGAAGGTGTCCGTGTTGAAGTTGGGCAACAAGGTGTCCTTCAGCATGGCGGCATGGCAAAAGTGGCGGTACATGTGAGATTTTTTGGCATCCAGTGATTTCCAGAGGAATAAAGAAAAGATCCAGATTGAAAATCTACTTTCATGGAGGTCTCCCAAAGACCTATAGATTAATTAGAAATATTAGAATCTAAGCCACTTTGTCTTAACCATCAACTTGGAGACCTCCAAGCAACTCAGAAAATCTCAGGAACCGGACCCAGAGTCGACTCCACTGGTGGGACTCCACTGGTGGACTGCCGATTTGCAAAAAAAATGTGTCCTTCACCTTGCACACTGACATTTCAATGCATCTCAGCCATGTTGTGACACTTGTGGGTAGTTCTAGCGGAAATTGCCTGGCTGCGAGAATTGCAAACAAGGCTCCAAGAGACTAAACTGCTGTGGTGTTGCAATGGCCGTGGCCGCTGACAGTGGTGGGGCAGGCGGTGGTAGACTTGGCGGTGGTGGAACCATCATCGCAAGCTTCATGAATGCAGCACCTGCAGAAGACCCTGCCTTATTGGTGGTTTCAACCACCCTGAAAAATATTCCTCAATGGAGATCATCATCCCATAAAAGATGAAAATTACAAAAAAAGGTCCAACCGCCAGCCAGTTACAGTTGTCCTTCAAGACTGCTTACTTTCCAGTAATAAAATATTGCAATTGAATTGAATATCCCCTATGAATGTAAGTTTACAGCTGGGAAAATCAACTACAAATGGTGGATTTTCCAGCAAGCCATGTTTGATTAGGGTAGCTACATTCACAACAACTGCATGGGTCACGGAAGTTCTGAACTTATCGTTTTGATGTCATGCTTTATTGGGAGGTGCCTCTTGAGGCTCCTGGAAAACAGGGGCTGACACTGTTTTTTGTGGACGAGCTGGGAGAAAGCATCAGCAGATATCAGCAGCATCAGCCCTAAACCTGCGTTTCACGATGTTTCACGCTTCATGCGATCTAACATGATCCAAAAATGATACATACCAATGACCATGTTAATGGGATATCATGTAGATACCAATTCTCCTAACATGATCCAAAAATTCCTAAACATAAAGGGATACCAATGACCCCACGATTGGCTCGTTGAAATGGGTTCGTGTTTATCATAGCTGGGCTCCGCACTGGGTGCCAGCATCGTCCCCACGGCACCGGCACCGGCCAAACCTAATGCCATCACGGCATCCTGCAGGGTGCAGGCTTTGCCAACTGCATGGCAATGAAAACATGGTTTAATTAGTGTTTTTGGTTTGTTAGGTTAGTTGGTTCCAAGTTAGTTTTGATTCAGCTGATAAGTTCTTATTTGGCCATTAGTCAAAACCTAGTACCCTGAAGAAAAAGACAAAATAGTTGGTAGTTCTGGATGTTCATCTCCCAAATTATGGGGTGATTAAGTTTTGATCCATTCTCATCATTTTCATGTCATCTCATTTCTAAGTCAAACCGTTAAGCTTGAATAGATCTGAATTGATGAATTGTTGAGTTCAATGTTTACCTTCGCAAGCCGCGGTGTCCCTTCAAGTAGCAACGTGAAGTTTGTTCCGAGTTGGACCGCCCCGACGGACATGGTTTTTTTCCAGTCATGTTTGTTTTCTTTTGGAGCCCATAAGTCAAGGTCGATATATCATAATCTACCATAAACCATGATATATCTATATATTATTATATCATGATATATACGTATATATATATTATTATATACATATCTACCATAAACCTTAGAAAATCCGGTGGTCAAAACAACCAAAACTGAGCCATTTCAGCTTGTATCATCTGTATCGTGGCCGTCAAAATGGGCCCATTTGGCCCACTTCATACTGAATGTCAAGTCAGGGTTCATCAGCCCCCGCAATTCAACAGACCCAAGTTCTGGAAAGTCAACAATTAGTAAACAAAAACATTATGTATAGTAAACATTATAACATACTATAACATAGTATAGTAAACATTATGTATAGTAAACATTATAGTACATAGTATTAGTGTGTTAAAACATTATAACATACTATAACACATAAACAGAAACATAAACCATCGTAGACTATACTTAGATGGGCCAGTGACTTAGTGAACTACTTCGTAAAATGGATTATAGTTGAGATATAGTAGCTTTATAAGTTAGCTATTAGTTATAACCCACTTACTAACATATAATCCCATCACTTCCCGCTTCGGTGGGCCTGCAAGGCCGTCGACGATTCATCCACCCGACGATGCTGAACTCTTGGAACGATACCTTGGGACCAGCTTGGCTTCCCCTTTTTAATGGAGATTCTGGGTGAAGTTGATGGGAAGATCATGACAACATAATGGGAATATGGTGAATTAATGCTGGTTTCATGGAAGTCATGGAAGTTCATCAAATAGTCATGAGATTTAATTGGATTGAATGGAACTTTAATGGGCCTTAAGGGGGTATTTCCAACACTATGATAGTTGGGTGTGTTTGGAGATGTTGTACGCCTGCAAATCTTTGTGCCTATTTGAACAAGGAAATTGAGGTTTTAAACCACAGGACTTGAAGATACTCTATTTTCACGCAAAGCCGTTGGGATTGGGGGATTGGGGTTCCAAACTCTTTTGGAAATTGTCCAAAAATGGCGGATTACCATGATATCTGATTTCCGCAGTCCAAGTGGCTAGTCTTGACGCGAGACTGCGGCAGGGGCACAAAAATGAAGTGCTCCCAGGCCTCTTTGGATCTGCACATCCCGTCGCAGCTCGCAGCGACAGCTCGCGGCTCGTCGCCACGGAAGTTCGTTGGGTGGCAAAGTGCCAGCAGTCTGAAAAAAGGGTGGAGGCAATGTGTCGAGTTTGTTTCTTGCTATCGCAAAATATGTTGGTGATGCAATCTTGTGCTATGAAGGCCTGTTTCATGTCTGTTTCGAACCACACTGCTGCAGACACAATCTAGTAGCTTTCACAGACATGAGGCTTCAATAGGTTTCATATCTGGGTAAATCATAATATTACACTCACCTGAATTAAGGCCATTTGGGGATGATTTCCCTTAGTAACCATGATTCCAGTGAGTGAGGTCGCAGTGAGGTCGTGATGAAATTTACCCAGATATATGTCATGGTGGCAACTCGGATGGCAAACCCTAAAACGATATGGCCAGCATGACTGAAGCTTTACGGCATCCAGTGGAAACCCCACGGAACAGTTGAACATTCCAGCTTCGCGGCTTGGCGATTGAATTCCAGGTCTACCCCTGGCAAAACTAATCATTAACATCATTTAGAGGGAAAGAAACAACAAATCTACACTCTACACATGATACACATGGTGGAAGCCCCATGAACTAGTTCGATGATGTTCGATGATGTTCGATGTATCTGCCATAAACTGGACAGTTCTTGGAGTTCTGCTTCCCAACTGAGCCGTCGGAAAAGCCAACCTCGGCTGCTGGAGACGAGCCAAGCAACGACCTATAGCGGCAGCCCGGGATGGTTAAAAGTATACGGATATTTAGCTAGCGACAGATGGGATATTTATAATATTTATAATGGTTTATACGCATAATAATGGGATAATCTAATAATTTATAACCATATATTTTTAGTTACTGGATTTATAATGGTTTATTCTGGCTAGTAATGGTGAATACCTAGCCAGTATTGCTGAACATATGGCGAAACAAATTTGCTTTGACTAGTTCAGGTGCTACCATTGGTGGTTTATGATTAATAAACATTATTGGTTGTTCATCTGATAAGATGTAATATTGATTAATAGTGGCTAGCAATGGTTGATAATGCTTCGTAATTGCTAATCATGGGATATTTAATGGTATACCATGGTATACCCTCAATTGTGTCATCAGCTCCATGCAAATCCCCCAACATCCGATGGAGGTTTACAATGTTGATCGCTGGGGTTTTTACCGGTCGAAAAATGATGCACAAAAAAATGCTGTGTTTGTGCGTGTGTGTTCCATATCTATTAATTATCTGGATGGTAATCTAAAAACTATGGTTGATAGATGTCTGATTGATGGGAATTTGTGACGATACACCATAATTTTTAAAAATATCCCATCCATGGTTACCTCCCCAATCCCCAAGTATTCTTCAAGTGGTTTTCCTGTTGGCTTCCTCTTTTATATGCGTTGATGACTTGGTGTGTAATAATTAGACGGTTCGGGGGATGCTGCGCAGGGCCAGCCTGCATGTTGTGCATGTCGGGATGTCGGCGGATTACCTAAATCTGATATGACACGCTAAGTAAGCTTTGCAAGTAAAATCTGTTTGAAACCGTGGATTAAAAAAAAAAAACTAAAAACCCTAAATGAAATCCTTAACAAACCCTAAACAAACTCTAAACAAACCCTAAACAAGCCTTAAAGGGTTGGTCACATGATAAACCTCTAGCCTCACCCCCGGCCTGGGGGTAATTATACATATCATATGTATGTTTACATGTCTATATATACATTGTAATTACATATTTATATGAATAAACATAAACATATACATGTATACATTATACATTATATATATATCCATTTCCATATACTCCAATATGAAGATATACATATAATTAATTACATATCATGTATATATATATACATATTAAAATTATATACACATTATAGATGTTTGCTTGTACACATCACCCGCAGAGCGCTCAACTCGGGAACTCCCAACTTGCTGAAATCTTCGCCGAAGCCCGGAATGAAGACCTGGCGAATGTCGCCGGAAATTCTCTCATGGTGAAAAATCAGCGATTTTTCACTGGGAAATTCATGGGAATTTAAGCAACAAAATTGGGAATAGCAATGGGAAATAGCATGGAACATGGATGAACATGTCGTATAAAAGTTGATAAATCAGCTTGAACCACGGTGATTTTCCATCTATTAAATTATCAGAGGATAACTTTGGAAAACTCTTTCTGAATGTGAGTTAAATCTCAATTTGGACATCAACAAATTGGAGGTTTCGCAGTAGATCTCGGGGGCAACTGGATTGATCTGAAGTTGCTTTCGCGCACAAACTTCTATTGGTTTCCACTTGTCTCCATACATCACACTGATCCGACCAAATATTGTGGAGTGATTTGGCAGTGTGTCAAAACCTTGTACCCCTGGTGAACATCAAAATAGCTGGTAAATGGATGTTCATCCCCCTAAAAATGGTATGTATAGGTATTGATCCATACCCATTTGTAGACACTGCAATTTTCCACTTCGGACGGATCAAAACAGATCAAAATTCTCACCGTGAGCCACAAGATCCACAGTCGTCACCCAAACTGCATCTCTCAGTGTACAAATGTTTACTACAAATGATTACCCTCTGGTAAACTAACATAACTATGGAAAATCACCATTTTTTATGGGAAAATCCACTATAAAATGGCCATTTTCAATAGCTATGTTAAATTACCAGAGGGTACAAGATTTTACAAGCCTAAGACTTCCTAAGATCATCTAAGATCATCTAAGATCACTGTAGCCTACAACCTACGGTATCCTACGGTCGCCTCAATGCAGTCCCAAGTCATCTGCCTCAGCTGAAAAAAGGTCCACAGGGCTGTTTTTTTTTGATATGGATGGACCAAAAAATGGATATGTGTATAAACATTGTGTGTAAAATGTGGACATGTTTTTTGTATTTTTTTGTCATAAATTCCATCACCCACTCCATTTCGCACGGTTGGATCTGTCGTTTCAAATCAACGGTACCCGTCTAGAAGGATTGGAAACAGAAAACGTTGGGGTCCCCTAAAATTGGCGGGTGGACGGTGGACGGAGTTGGCATCTCCATCTGATTTTCTCTGATGTCCCATGGTTCATGTTGGCTTTAAGGCTTTGTCTGAAAATGGATACCCCTAAATCCCATGGCTAATCATCATTTTCCCATATTTTCCCTATTACCCTCTGGTAATGACTAACATAGCTATTGAAAATCACCATTTAGTTCGTGGATTTTCCCATTGAAAATGGTGATTTTCCATAGTTATGTAAACGTTTACCAGAGGGTAAACGGCCATTTGGGAAGTATACCCCATTTTCAGACACACCCAAATGATCTTCTCTATACTCGTAGCAGTGGAATCCGCCCGGTCTTCATGGTCATAGTATCCACAAGTCCAAATGGCTTTGTCTGAACATAGGCTACTCCCAGAATCCCATTGTCTATCTTGACGTGCAATCAGCATTGAAATGGATTGACACGTGACTAATTTTCTTCCCTGCATTTAGAGTAGTCAAATAGTCCTGGAATATTATTTCATAGTCAAAAAACAAGATGAATCTTCAACACAGTCGCAGTATCAATCGCAGACACTACAAAACAGCCTCCTCTCATCGGCTGGCCAAGGTCGGGGGAGCTATGTTGGCCAGGGGGCAACTGTCCAGCCAAAGCGATTTACAGTTACTGAAAGTTCTGGTTGAATTCTCAATTTTCTGTTTAAAACAGTCGGGAGCGCTACTGATTGTCCTTAGACAGTCGGAAGCGCTACCGATTGTCGATTCTCCATGAAGCAGTGGGGAAATGTGGGAAATGCTACGGATTGTTCTTAAAACAGCCGGGAGCGCTACCGATTCTTTAAATACTTGTCCTTACTCCTTAAAGCAGTCGGCCGCATGGGCCGCACTCTCGAGCTTTTTTAGGATCCTTGAAACAGTCAGGAGCGCTACCGATTCTGGGGTTTCAGTTCCAATATGTGGGGACGGCTTTAAAATCAGGACAAAAGAGTCATGAAATCATCCACATCATCATGTTTATATTGGAAATCAGATGGATTAATAATGGATTAGTCATTGATCAATATGGATTATGGTTAGTAGTGATTCAAGATTTATGGATTCAATGATGGTTGACTATTCGACTATACTTTAAGTGCACCACGTTTTGGGAGCGTACATCTTCAGAGATACCCAAGCGCTCGAGTCCCGAACCACCACACGGGCGTCGAGTCCGCGGACTGCGCGTCATCAAGAATATGATGTTCATCAAGAACAGGGGGGATCTTCTTGTGGGCATTTAAATTTATTAAAGGGTTCGACAAGGATGAGGGATTCATGAGATTCAGATGCAATGGGGATATGATGAGGTAAACCTAATAATCAACTATCCCCAATAGAGGTTTTGTTATTGGGTATGCCTCTATTTAGGATGTAAAATTAGCCCCAAAGGATTGGATGATGGGACGGGTTACTGATATTATTGGGTTTACCACATTGGAAGGGACGTAAATCAAGATACATATAGGTGCATGAGATATGGGTTAATCTAATATGATCTTAAATGGATTTATATGCAAAATAAGGCAAAACAAATGAACAACATGTTGTCATGCATAAATATACATGATACACATTGGTCGATAAACTATATCATACTATATCTCATCAACAACTAAGGGACTAGGCCTGACTCAAAACATGCGGATTCTGCCGAATCAGGAGCTTCGTCCATTCTCGTCCCAGGCAGTGGCGGCAACATGTGGCAACCAATGGTTTTGTTGCAACCCCAAAAAGATGTCCAACAAGTCACATATGGGTATGGATCAATACCTATTAATACCATTTTTAGTGGGATGAACATCCATTTACCAGCTATTTTGATCCTCACCAGGGGTACAAGGTTTTGACACACTGCCATATCTTATTAATGTCTATTGGTAAAAAATGTCACCTGGTCTACATTTTTGTTGGATGTCAGGATGTCCTTTTCCGTAGACTCCCCGCCAAAAATTGGG